GGGGGGGGGGGGGGCGGAGGAGTTGCTTCCTCCTGCCTGCAGCAGACTGATCACTGGGAGAGGGGAGACTGGGGAAATGCTTCCTCCTGACTGCAGCAGACTGATCAATAGGGGAGGGGAGAATGAGGAAATGCTTCCTCCTGCCTGCAGCGGACTGATCACTGTGGGAGGGGAGACTGAGGAAATGCTTGCTCCTGCCTGCAGCACTCTGATCGCTGGGGGAGGGGAGACTGAGGAGATGCTTCCTCCTGCCTGCAGCAGACTGATCAATAGGGGAGGGGAGAATGAGGAAATGCTTCCTCCTGCCTGCAGCGGACTGATCACTGTGGGAGGGGAGACTGAGGAAATGCTTGCTCCTGCCTGCAGCATTGTGAATTGACATGGGACCAGGCAGGGCTGTATCATCCATGTGTGCCTGGGGCAGTACATTCACTTCCATATACTTTGCAGGGAAATTCCGGCCTGGGATTCAGCATTGCTGGAGGAATTGATAATCCGCATGTCCCTGATGATCCTGGAATATTCATCACGAAGATCATCCCTGGAGGGGCGGCGGCCATGGATGGAAGATTAATGTGAGATCATTGTAATGGTGTTTCTAAATAACAAAGCGCAGTGTGCTTGTAACCAGTATGCACCAGTAGCCGCCAGCGTATAACTACCAGTAACAGGTGTATAACCAGTAGGCTCTCCTTTGTATGCAGGGTGACGGACTGCGTGCTGCGGGTCAATGATGTGGATGTCACGGAAGTCGTCCATAGTAAAGCAGTGGAGGCTCTGAAGGAGGCCGGCCCAGTAGTGAGGCTCCTAGTCCGGCGCAGACAAAGTCCTCCAGAGACCATCCTGGAGGTTAATCTACTAAAAGGTCCTAAAGGTCAGTATGGGGAACGCTGTGAATGGGACGAGCAAACAGGTGTCTGTTCCTTGGACTGGCCGTCCGGAACGCTGGTATTCAGTGAGCTTGGATTTAGATTTGAATGTTCAATGTTTGAATGGAGGTCTAGGAGGACTGTTCAATGTTTGAATGGAGGTCTAGGAGGACTGTTCAATGTTTGAATGGAGGTCTAGGAGGACTGGACACACATTGTACAATAAGATTGCATACTCTGCTGATTTCACAAAGAATTGTAGAGAAATATGAGGCACTGTGTGTAGTACAGAGGTATGATGCACTGTGTGTAGTACAGAGGTATGGGGCACTGTGTGTAGTACAGAGGTATGATGCACTGTGTGTAGTACAGAGGTATGGGGCACTGTGTGTAGTACAGAGGTATGTGGCACTGTGTGTAATACAGAGGTATGGGGCACTGTGTGTAGTACAGAGGTATGGGGCACTGTGTTTGGCTACCTCCTGGTACACCTGCATGCAATTTATCGACTGCAATAATATGCTCACACTTGGAGCCCATTCCGTGTGCGCCTTACAGTAAAGCTGGTGACAAATTGATGAGTGCGTTTGTCATCTGTTTTGGTGCAGTGATGCATGGGGGGTCTCAGCTGCCATTGGGATGTGCGGGATCCCTTGTACGTCTCTGTGCCTTTAAGGGGGTTGGGCTTCCTCCTGACAAACCTGCCACTCCCAATACATAAAGAAAGCATTTTTTAATCCAAATATCATTTTCACTGTACAAATTCGCCTTCTTCTTTTCTTTTTTACAACAATAATAACAAACATAGTGAGCTCTTTCCACTGTCTTTACCATTTAACATGATCCCAAGGTAGACCGAGCTCCCAATTTCATGCCAGCATCCAGCAGCCCCGCTTCTAATTCTAAATCGCGGGAGTAAAAGCTCCGCCCACCTGTCACTTTTTAAAACCGGCGGACTCCCGCCAGTGCCTCATCATTCCTTTCGAGCTTGAGAAAGAGGTGAATACCTCGAAACGCGTCGCTCTTCTCTACCCAATGCACCTCCATCCACCCAGAGTATCCCCACCTCCTCACTGATCTGACTACCTGGCGCACACTGCCCACAGCTGACCTGGCTAAAACCCAGCACCGACATCCACAACTGTGGTCACAGCAGCCTGTGCTGCACTCGATATTGGTCTGTCCCTCCTGGTTCTCCTCCACACCGCCCGGAGTCCACATCCTCCCAGCGGCATCACGGACAGAGCCAACTCTCTCCGCTCACATCATTCCCTTCCGATGGATGAACCTCCCAAGTCAATATACTAATCAGATCCAGACAGACACAACGATTTTGTAGACTAAAGCAAAACTGCTCTAACATCACAGACTTTACAACCCAGAGCAAATTGCTTGCCAACAAATTTAAGGAAAAAGCTTATCCAAACACACTGATACAAGACGCGCATTCCACGTACTTACAGCCCCCTGTACCCACGCCAGATGAACGCCCTGTTCCTGCAGCGGAAACAAGATTTATTACCACATTTAATAGCAGCCACAATAAGATTCAACGTATCATTCGCAAAAATTGGCATATTCTAAAGCAGGACCCTAAACTAGGTCCATACATCGCACCCAAACCAGCAGTCACCTTTAGAAAGGCCCCCAATCTCAGAAACAAAATAGCACCAAGTAAGCTAACATCCGCCAATATCAGAGACATACAACATCAAAAATTCGACAACAGAGTGGGTATCCACCAATGTAAAAAATCCCGTTGTCTCACTTGTCAGTTCATCACCCATGGACAATCCACATTCACCGATCATCTCAACAATAGCTACCCTATCAAACAGTTCATCACATGTTCGCACGACCATGTCGTTTATGGCCTGAAGTGCCCATGCGGCTTATTATACATCGGACGCACCATTTGTACCCTAAGAAAGAGGATATGCGAACACAGGCGGTTCATCGCTGACGGCGACCGCGACCACAGTGTCCCTACACATTTTGCTGCCAAACATGGGAAACGCATTCAGGATTTACATGTATTCGCCATGAACACATTCCCATCTGTTTTTCTCGGCTGAGCGTTTCCAGAGGTTGTGTAGACAAGTGACTTTCTGGATCTACAGACTCAACACCCTTGCCCCAACAGGACTTAATGAAGAATTGGAAATTTTGACCATTACATGAAACCTTCCAATCCTATGCCCCAAATGACCAGTCTTGTAAAGTGATTTTTTAAAGAAAATATGCCCCCCTAGAATAGGAATGTACCAAACAAACGTTTTTTAACACATTTTTTATTCATATTTTACTCATCCTTTATTTGTACAACAAAATAAATTTTCTTAAGGGACCGTAATATACAGGGGTACGGGTACTCCTAGAATGAGATCCTAATAGGTTGGACTTGATGGACTAATGTCTTTATTCAACCTCAAATACTATGTAACTATGTAACTATGTAACCTCCCCAGTCAATATACTAATCAGATCCAGACAGACACAATGAGGGTCCCGATCCTCTTCACAGGCTGCCCATCTTCCGGTCCCTGGATCTACATGTAAGTGATATCGCATTGATTCTTCTCCAGTGATTTTTTACTATCACATCTGATCCCCTGTTTGTTATACACATTACAGTCCTACTAGCCAGTACTTTATTTTTATTTTCATTTTTTGTGTTTGCTGTTGCACCCTCTGTGTTCCTTTGTCAGCGCCGCAGCGTCAATCACAGGTACTGAGACATGTTCCCGGTCCGCCGCTGCAGAGATCGGGAAATGTCTCCGTGGCCTGTGATTGGTGCTGCCAGCTTCCTGGCGGGCTCGGCACGTGCAGCTGCGAACACGCCCGAGCCCATCACTACTCCTGACAAACCCGCACCCAATTTGATATTTTGCCCCCATGTGCTCCAAGATGGAGACTCTCATAGTTTGGAGTTAGGACCGCACTATGTAGAGGGGCCTTGGCGCGGCTGTGCGGCTTTCACGTTTTCTGCAGAAGACGTGTATCCAAACCTCTGTTTTTAACCTTAGTGTGAGACAAGTTTTTTTACATGCTAGCTTGTGAGTGTGCCAGGAAAACCTTTTGCTATTTTACTGTTTAAAGCCCATTCCGTGTGCACCTTACTGTAAAGCTGGTGACGAATTGATGAATTGATGCCAGGAAAACTTTTTGCTATTTTAATGTTCAAAACAGAGACACAGAAATCTTAGCTCTTTGCCTAGTACTTTCTTTTTTACCAGAATCTTGGCAGCCTGCCAGCCTTCTAATGCTGTTCACCATAGATACGCCCCTGGGGAAAAGGAGCATTGGAGTTGAGGCACACTGCTCTAAACAGGGGGGAACTGACTATTTGGGCACTCGGACACTGCCCCAGGGCCCGCAGCTAGAAGGGGGCTGTGGCTTCCCACCCAGCACTGGTGGAACTAACAGGGTTGCAGCGACTGGGCCCTGGTGTTCCGCCACTTGCCATTTCCTGTCATGCAGAGAGAAACAGGGAGCAAATCATTACAGTGGTCAATAGAATGGAGTTTTTTAGCAGAGGGGTGGGAGATCAGATGTGACGTGATGGGTCACATGGAAGAGTGGAGCTACTTTGTCAAGCTGTAGTCTAGAATCACAAAAGGATGTTTTAGTGCTCTGCATGTGCATGATTGGTACAGTAGCACACAGGAGAAGATGTGTGTTACAAAAATGGGGTTCAGAAGGAGATATGAGGTGGTATGCATGATAGAAAATAGGGCACAGTTGAGCGCATTGGATGTCTTATGCAGTGCAAGGGATTCCTTATTGGGGTGCAGGAGAGTGCATGGGGTGCAAGAGAGCATAGGGTGCACAAAGGTTTAGGAGAGAATAAGGGTTTCACTGGACGGTATAGGAGCGTACATGGGGAACTTATGGGGTGCACTCTGGGTTAAAAGAAAGCACATGGGGAACTGATTGGGCGCACCGTGGGTTATAGGAGAGCACATAGGAAACTTATTGTGTGCTCTGTGGGTTTGGAGAGAGTGCATAGGTAACTGATGAAGTGTACTATGGGTTATAGGTGAGTACATGGGGTGTGCTGTGGAGCAGGTGGTGGACTGACCATTGAGGCATTGTTCAAGGGCCCGTAAACAGAAAGGGGCCCGTGGTCTCCCCCAGCATTGGTGGAACTACCAGGGGAGAGTGCATACGTAACCTATGAAGTGTGCTATGCATTATAGGGGAGTACATGAGGTGTGCTATGGAGGCGTTGGACTGACTATTCGGGCACTGCTCGAGGGCCTGTGGCTAGAAGGGGGCCCATGGCCTCCCCCAGCACTGGCGGAACTACCAGGGTTGCAGCAACTGGGCCCTGGCATGCCGCCACTTGCCTCTTCTCGCCATCCAGGCTGCAACCCCTGCAGAGAAAGCCCACCCAGGTGATGAGACATGGCCACTCAGGTAGAAACTTTGCTCATGCCGCTGCCCCTGCAGGGGCAGGCACCAAAGGGCAACAAAGGGCTGTGAGTTTATGGATGCTCCCCTGCCCAAGGTGAACCTCTGGATCAAGACCACTGGTGTGCATGGACTTCAGGTGAGTGAAGCACCCCTCTTATTAGAATGGTTGGGGTAGATAGGTGGCCTGCAGCACCATAAGAAGCCTTATCAGCTGCGTGAGCAGGGGATTAGCTGGTTAGCTGGAATGGAGGAATGCTTCTACCTGCAGACTTTATGGACGTGCCTCATGCATGGCTGCCGACACTTTCAGGGTTGGATACTTGAGCACCCAAACCCTGTCAGTTTTCAGGTGAGCTGACCCCATCAACGCTGGTGAACAGCATTAACGCTGGCTTTTCCTACATCACCAAACCTCTGTGCCTGCACTGGGTAGGCGTGATGATCGTATGGTTTCTGTACACCAAGCTGTTATAGAAAGCTGAAGCTTGCAGGGATTAGGCTCTTGTGTACACGAACCTCAACATTCATCCTTTAGGGTTATTACCAGTATTGATTTTATCTTTATATAATGTTCCAGGTGCCCTGGGTTGTGTAGAAGTATTGTAATAGAACAGTACTGCATTACTGCATTATGTACTGCTGAGCTCTGCGTTCTCTACTACAGTGCTCTGCATTCTTTTTCTTACCAGTTATGTGAGAACACCAAGGGACATTCCATAGCCAGAGCAGATACAGTATCCTTTATTTGAGCCCCCTAAACAAAACAAGCACTTAACCCTTGGAGCATTAGGGTAGCCCCACTGTAAGGGTAAGTTTTTTTTAAATTCCCAGAGTTCTTCTTTTAATTCAAGTACAGAAGTGTGATTTATTTTACAGTGAATGAGAAAGTAAATATTTGTAAATGTACCCAAAACTAAAACAAAATGTGTAGTAACAGAGGAGAAGAGATCCTCTGTTAGGTTGGTAGCCCCCTTGGATAGTTGTTTTTCCTCTAAAGGAGGGGTGGGGAACCTCCAGCCCTCCAGCTGAGATGGAACTACTAATCCCATGATGCATCTGTCTCTGGGAGTCATGCCTGTGAGAGGGCCAGAGGTTCCCCAACCCTGCTCTAAGGTGTCAATTTTGTCACAGAAAGTGAGAGGAAAGTGCAGAGCCGTAAATAATACCTTTTACATACTGTATTACATATTCACTGAACTTTTCACAGTTATAAAGGTTACATATAACAGCTGTATACACAACCCTGGTTTCATCTGTGAAGAGGCAAGTCCAGCAATACTGGTTTACTGATGCAGAAAAACCACCTGGAACAGGGTGGATATGTCCTCAGGAGATGATTTTAATCTATGTCAGTTTCTAGGAGGATTAATATATGTTTCTGTTTTATATTTTACAAAACTATAATTCAGCCTGTTGTACAGAAATCAAGCAAAGTAAGACAATTTGGTAATATACAAATATTTATCATAATTTTTCATGTTAATAAATAGGTTTAAAGGAAGCCTTTCTTGAGAAAAACATAGAGAGGGGGATTTATCAACACTGGAGCAGTCAAAAGTTGGAGCAGCTGTGCATGGCAACCAACTAGCTTTTCTGTTTCATTTTCAAATCTTAACTGAACAAACCAAAGAAAGAAGCTGATAGGTTGCTGTGCACAGTTGCTCCAGATTTTGTCTGCTGCAGTTTTGATAAATTCCCCTCATAGGCTTTTATTGCTGACATCTCTTTGAGGCCTCTAACCCAGAATATGAATAATGTGAATAAGGTGTCTAAAACAAGATAAGGACTTCTGAAACTTTTCTAGATTTGAGATCGGCATACTTGTGAGTAAGCAGCCTGGCACTGAAAAGAAGAGGCGACAGTTTATTAT